CAGCAATTCGTATGGTTCCTGTTCGTCTGTTTGGAGTGCTATATTGGATGCCGTTCGGGAGTTTGGAGCATTCACTTATTGGCGGTTCGTGTGTTTGGTGTTCTGCAGTAGCTGTGCCTGCATCTCTGGGAGGGGGGCCGATCGCCTAAATGGTTTTTACCCCTTGTGTGCAAAACTGTCCGTTACAATTGGTGGCAAGCGGTGGGATCATTCCCACAGACAACAGGACAGCTACAGGCAGGGATGTATTTACCACAAGGCAAACAAGGCATTTGCCTAGGGTGGCACTTTCAGGGGGGGTGCAAAAAAATGCCACCCCAAATGCCTCGTGTTCTGGGGCTGTCCACCTTACTGTGAGTGTAGCTGTCAGTGTGTGTCTGTGAGTGAGAATGGGTGTGCCTGTGAGTGTGTGTCAGTGTGTGTATGTCATTTTATGTGTATCTAAGAGTGTGTGCCTGTCAGTGAGTGGGTGTGTCAGTGTGTGTCTGTCAGTGAAAGTGTGTGTTGGTTAAACAGTGTGTGCCAATGACTGTGTATCTGTCAATGAGTGTATATCAGTGCATGTATCAATGAGGGCATGTGTCTGTCAGCCAAAAATATGGCCTTGACACGAATTGGGGGGGGGCAAATTTAGATTTTGGGGGTGCCCGAATTTAGTCGTGCTTAGGGCAGCACAAACTCAAAATACACCACTGGCTACAGGCGACACCATTCTGTGGATTTACAATTTGAGGACAACGCATGTCCCAGTACATGACCCTGACAGCACCGAGATGGAACCAGCAGTGTTATATGAGGAGGAGGACCTGGATGGCCGGGATGCATTAAGGAAAGGCATCTTGTACCAGGCCCTGGATAATGTACAATACCAGCGGGGTGAGAGTCTCCCCAGTGAAGAGCAGCAGTTGCAGAAGCAAGTGGCCCTGCGGATGCCCTTCCTGGGAGAGCAGCCCCTGGAGGAATGGGTGAAGGAATTGGAGCTCCGGGTATGGCAGGAGATTTGGCTGGAAGATGCCTACCAGGCGCTCTGGTGGTATGGGGCACAGTACCTGCCCTGGACAGCCGAGCATGACAAGCCAGAGGGAGAGGAGTTTGATGGTCCGGGCTTGTTATGGGAGGCTTTTTCAGAGCCTGAGTTTGGGAGCCCTACACAAGCCCGGTTCAGTGATCTCTTGGAGTGGAGGGAGAGCAGGTATGACTGGGACGACACTCACGAAATTGAGCAAGACCTGGCTCACCTAGCAACCCTGGAGTGGGAACCGGAGCAGGACTACTGAGATCTCTTCCACTCCATTGAGAAGGCTCAGCAGGACAGCAAGGTGACAGATCCAGTTCCAGACCCATTCAGCTGGGAAGATATTGTTGAAATTTACTGAGAGGAACCCCAGGCGGCAGGTGGAGAGGGGACCGAGGTCTCTCCACCGGTATTGTAGGGAATTGGGAGCCCGAGCTCCATTCCCCAGCGGGAGATATTGCAGGGAAGTGGGAGCCTGAGCTCCATTCCCCAGCGGGAGATACAGCAGGGAATTGGGAGCCCAGTCTCCATTCCCCAGCGGCAGGCTGAGTTACAGGGGACAGAGATAGTTGCTCCTGTCCCCCAGCAGCAGAATGAATTGCAGGGAATTGGGAGCCCAGTCTCCATTCCCCAGCGGCAAAATGATTTATTGGGAATTGGGAGCCCAGTCTCCATTCCCCAGCGGCAGTATGAGTCATAGGGAATTGGGAGCCCAGTCTCCATTCCCCAACGGGAGATACAGCAGGGAATTGGGAGCCCAGTCTCCATTCCCCAGCAGCAGGACTCTGTATTGGAAGCAGAGACAGTCAGTCTCCCTCCCCCGCGGCTGGAAGTATATATGGGAGAGGAGCTTGTTACCCCCTCTCCCCAGCGGCAGCTTAATGTACCAGGGGGAGACAGTAAGCCCCACAACTGTGCAGATGGGACCGTGGTCTCTGCACGTCCAGAACAGGGGGTAGGGACGGTCTGTTCTGCCCCCCAGCAACAGGGCTGTTTAGCCAAAGGGGAGACAGTTGGTCTCCAGCAGCAGAGCTATGTGTCCAAAGGGGAGACAGTCGGTCTCCAGCAGCAGAGCTGTGTATCTAAAGGGGAGACAGTCGGTCTCCCCCTCCAACAACCAGGCTTCAACCAGGCTAGTGCTGGCAACAGGGCAGAGTACCACTGGTCTCTGCCCACGCAGCAACCCACCAAGTCAGCATACCCGTACCCAGCACAGCCGTGGTGAGGCACCTGGACATGGACAAGCTTCTCCTCTACCCAGGTGTAGTAACCATTTATTGTGGGTGGGCTGTGCTGTTGATTGTGTTTTGTTGGTGGGCTGCTGGACTAACAAGGGCACTGACCGGCAGGAGGTCAGATACCCTGTTAGTCTGTTTGGAAAAGGGGAGAGATGTGACGAGACCAATCTTGCCACATTGCATTGGAGAAGCCTGGTTGCTCGCCTGTTGCCTTTGGATTATGGCCCCATGTTAAAAGGCTTGATTTTCCCCTGCAAAGACAAGAAAGCCGGGTCATTTGGTGCTTGCCCTGTTTGAGCAGTGATACCCCAGATAGCTATGCCATGGAGCCCATTCGTATAATGAAAGACTATGGGAAAAACTTTGGCTCCATGGCAATTGAACTGTATGTGTGTGCTCTGAGCGCCATTCAGTAATAATGTGCGCTCAGATCTGAGCTATCTGGGGATATGTTGTATGTCTGTATTATAAGTCATAAATGTAACCTTGTGTATTTTATTGTATTTTACTGTCTTTTTGCTGCCATGTGTTCAATGGAGTTTTGCCTCTGTCTTTGGAGATAATTGGATTACTTCTAATTATCTCCAGGATAGAAGACTCTGTGGAACTGGTTTTGGGCAGAAATGCCATGCTTCCTGTGGTCACAAAGGACTATGATCTATCTTTTGAACCACTGGACCAATTGTATGATTTTGACGTATGTTTGTATTTGGAGTATGCTGATTCTGAAAATGTAAGTTTTATGTGAATGTGATGCATACATTTCAAGTTATGAATAATGTGGACAAAATTGTATTTTTCTGCTTGTGCTAAATTACATTACCCATTGTGTAAGGTAATTGAATCACATGCAGAGGGGAGGAATTTATGTGGGAGTGTCTGAGTGTATTGTATGTGTTTATTGGTTGTGTTCCAAAACCCTGTGGGTGGTACTAATGTGTAAGAATGTGTACATAAGCACAATAAACCCACAGCTCTGTCTGTTCACTGCTTGACCCTCAACACGGAGCTTTGTCTCGTTCTTGGGGGGATTTATTGCATGCTCTTCCAGTTCGACTGCTAGGAGTGTAAACCTATTCGTATGGTTTTTCCTATTCGGCTGTTTACAGCATTTGTATGGTTTCCTGTTCGGCGGATTGATGTTCTGCAGTAGCTGTGTCTGTGTCTCTGGAAGGGAAGATCTACTAAACGGCGGTTTAACCCTGCTGAGGGTGCCGTTACAATTAGTGTGTATGCAGCAGAGAGGATTTGAGCAAGAAGAAACAGTTCATTAATAACTTAGATTCCAGATAATAAATTGGAAGTTATACTTAAGATTAATGTGAGTTGTCCTCCAAGAGAACAAGTCCACTTGTTAAATGGTAAATTGTCCGTTCTCCGGTAATCCTCTAGCGGATGAAGCGTAATCCTTTTTTCTTCAAAGGTTTAGGAAGGCTTGTGAGAGAAGCTTGTGGAGCCGGCGTCTATACCCGGAAGTAGGTCCCACAATCACCAAGCCTTCTCTCTGACGCGGTCTCTCTAAGTAGTGACAGAGAGCCGCGCCAGAAGGGGGCTGGGCCAGCTCTGCATAGCGGAATGCCGAACCCGGACGAGATACCGCATGACAGCCTGGTTCTTCACAAGCAGTGGGTGTATCCTCCCGGGGGTATGTCACAAACTTAATCGATCCAGGCGCCGCTGTGGTGGAATGGGCTTTGCAACAGTGGGTTTTGTACTAGGGGCTGTCCATACCCCTTGTGTGCCTTTATTTTCATTACTGTTCGTTACTTGAGAAAACAAGTAACAAATAATTACCTTGTGTCCTTTGTCTGGTTGTTCGGTATTATCTCTACTTCAGCTTACTTTCCCTATATGATTCGACAAACGAACTAAGTACCAAACCACCAGGCCACCCATGTAAGGAGTGTGGTGCCAGTTGACCTTCCTAACCCTGTTCACACTCTCTTAATTACAAACACATGAACCAACTGGGTGATACCATGGGTGGCCGCCGTTGGTTTATGCAAACGCGTGGTGGCAGCCATCTTAGAATACGAACTGCACCAGCGGAACTCAAATCAGACACTCAACGGCACAAACACCGCAGAGACTTCTATCCTCATGTAAGTTTGTGTAAACTCAGGGGAACAGAACAACATTCTGTGCAAAGAACCACACAAATGAGGGGATTTCAACAAACTAAGGCACAAACCAGTTTATTGGTTGTTTACTGTTTTTTACCAGTGCTCAACAAGGTCCACCTGGGAAAAACCTGCATAAAAGGTCAGCATGGCCCATTAAAGATCAGTTCTGCTCCTAATACTGAGTGTCGTCCAGTTATTAGGAAGGGTGATGGGAGAATCTTGTAATATTCTGCTTCTATGCATGTATTCCTGAAGAATCCTGCTGGTTCCTGAGTAATTATTGGAGTAATTATTGGAGTACAAGCGGAGAAGAGTCTCTGTTAGACTAGCACTCTGCTACATTGGTTAGCAGCGGCGGGATCCAGAGCTCACGAAGGAAAAAGTACCAGAGAAGTCAGCTGTACAACTACTCTATTCTCAAATGGTCCACGCTAAAGGATCTCTTAGAGGCAAGAGGCATCCCGGCAAGTAACAAGAAAAAGGCTGTGCTTGTTACCGAAGTGATGGCAGAATATCAGATGGATAGCGGTTTGGCTCCTGAACCAAGCAGTTCGACAAACGAACGGGAGCAGTCGGAGTTCCAGAGAGAGCTGCAATTTCGGCTATCATTTTATGGGGAAAACCCACTGTGGTGGAACAGACCTCGCCATGTGTTCTTGGAGGGGGCTGCTTGCCCGCCTCCTACTTTCTGACTATGGCCCTGGGATATATGGCATTTGAAAACACTATTTGTGCCCTGTGACAAAACGGGAGATTCTGCACAAATATGTCTATTGTCCATATTTTTTATGATTCCCTTTGTTTGTTGCACTGTCCCCCATGTGTTTCATCTGTGGGTTCAGCTGCATAGACTAACAGACAAACTGTAGAGTTACTGGGTGGCCACCATTTCATGTATCAGAGGCACATGGTGAGAACAATGGATTGCCGGCCATTTTAACTCACAGACACTTTTTTGACTTTTCTACACGGTGCCATGTCGCCGGTATTTGGTGCACATCATTCAGTAGTTTTAAACTACAGAACAGGGAATGCATTTAACAGTAATTATTTTTCATATAGCCTGTATATGTTCTGCAGAATCTGCATTAAACTGTATCTTCCAAACTACTGAATGGATCTGGGTGAATTTTGGATATGTGGTTTATGGGGTTATTGCATGTTTTGGGGTCCCTCTAATATGTTTGATAATACTGTATTTTCCTCCCTGTGATAATTAAGTTAGTCTATTGTGTTGAGATAATTGTATCACAGGCAGAGGGGAGGATTTATGATGTAATGAATGGGAGTGTTAGCTGTGTTGTAATGTGTTGATTGGTTGTTCTTCAAAACCCTGTGGGCAGTACTATGTTTGTAGAATGTGAATAAAAGAGGCTGTATGTGCCAGTACAGTCAATTCTTCTTGACCCTCAACACGTAGTCTTGTCTCGTGATTGGAGGGGACAGCTACACTCACACTGGGGATTGCTATGCTCTGCATACTCCCTTGAGCTTTAATCACTTAGCTCTTGTAAGAGCTTGTTCCTGATACGCTCTCCTGAAGGAGAGGTCTTCCCCACATGGTCCTGAAGGACAGAAGCCAATCCAGGGTGGACAGAAGACGGTGAGACTTCAGTTAAGCTACGGTGGTTGTGGAGTCTGCGGTGCTTGTGGTCCTCGGAGAAGGCTAGGAAGAGTCCATCAATGGAAGGTACTCAGTTGGAGTACGGGGAGTTCCGTTACACCCACTCACAGAGATTATCTCCCAAACCACGGCGGAGGTTCAGGAATTCATGCTGTGACAGAGAGATTGGCAAATACCAGAGGGAACACCAGCAATATCCATAGTGCCAGAGGGCAAGCCCAAAATTCCATACCAAGCTTTTAAAAATTATGTAGAGGCTGAGGATGAGATTAATGCATTCCTGCAAGATTTCAAAAGGCAATGTGCCCTACATAAAATTGATATTGAGGAATGGGTACCCTTGTTGGCCAACAGATTATCTGGAAGGGCAGTAGAAGCTTACCGCACTGTTCCAGATGAGGAGATTAGGAACTATTATTGAGTGAAATAAATTATATTGGCTCAATATGCTATAACACCAGAGGCATACTGGAGACAGTTCAGAGACCTTAAGAAAGTGAAGAAGGACTATCATGCAGATTGGGCTTGCCGGCTGCATAGAGCTGCTCTGGGGTGGGTACAGGCACATAAAGTTTGCACACTGGAAGATTTGCTACAGCTACTTCTGCTAGAGCAATTCTTACCCAGACATCCAGGAGTGGGTAAGAGACAGTAATCCCACTTCCCTCAGCCAGGAGGGCTGACAAATATTTAGATGCCCACCGTCAACAGAGACTGCTTCAAACACAGACCTTGCCCCGCCCTCTCACAGAGCCAATAGGTCCAGCAGCCCCATGAGGCAGTTCCAACCACCTACTTCCCCACAACAACGGCTCCAGCCATCAATCTCAATACAGTGCCAACACTGTAAAAAGTTTGGCCATTACAAGCGAGACTGACCCCAGATACGAAACCAAGCGACATGGATCTGGCCGGGTCCACCAACTCAAGCAGCCGCCTACTGCTACCAGAACGAAGCACCATCACAGTATACCACACCAGCTCCAACTCCGGTTCCAGCAGTTGAACAGTGGGAAGTCCTGCACAAAGCCAAACCACTCCAAGCAGATGCAGATAATTGCCAGCACCATCGGCAAATTGTATACCTGCAGGGGAAGGAGGTACAAGGGAGCCACACTAATAAGAGCCACACTAACCTTGGTAAAGAGGCACCTGGTATCCAGTAATGCCAGGACCAAGAACACTATAGCCGTACGGGTAGCCGGGGGAGCAGCTAGGGGTACATTTGGATTGGGGAGCAGGGTCTGGAATGCTGGAGGTTGGGTCAATGCCAAATTTACAAGCTGGAGTTCTGTTGGGTAATGATCTGGGGAAGCTCACGTTTGCATTCAAACCCCAGACCACACCAGGGGAATTGTACCCGGTCATCACCAGGCAACAGGCACACAACTGAAGGATCACGTAAGAGACCAAACCCCACCCCTAGAGTGTTTTCCCTGTGATGCGTCCACCGAGTTTGATGCAGAGGTGATCACAGACCCCACTTTAGTGATGGTGATGTCGCAAACATAAAATTTTCGGTTCGCGAATGGCGAACACGAACTTCCGCAAATGTCCGCGAACGGGCGAACCAGGCGAACCGCCATAGACTTCAATAGGCAGTCGAATTTTAAAACCCACAGGGACTCTTTCTGGCCACAATAGTGATGGAAAAGTTGTTTCAAGGGGACTAACACCTGGACTGCGGCATGCCGGAGGGGGATCCATGGCAAAACTCCCATGGAAAATTACATAGTTGATGCAGAGTCTGGTTTTAATCCATAAAGGGCATAAAACATTCCTAAATTGTTTGGAGTAACATGCTTTAAAACATCAGGTATGATGTTGTATCGATCAGGTAGTGTAAGGGTTACGCCCACTTCACAGTGACCGACCAAACTCCCCGTTTAACGCACCGCAAACAACCGCAAACAGAGGCGGCTCTCTAATTAGGTGGTTCAGGCGGCCGCCTAAGGCCTCGCACTGGCTGGGGCCTCGCGGCCGCCTAAACCGCCTTATGGCAGACTGTGTCAGGTCCTCGGTCAGAGACCGAGGACCTGACACCAGGAGGGGGCCCGGCGGCTTGCCCGGTATGCTGCCGGGTGCGAGGCCCCTCCTGGCTGCCAGGCCACCATCGCAGACACAGGTCTGCAGCTCCACAGTGAGCAGAGCTGCAGACCATGTGTCTTGCGAGAACTGGCCAATCAGAGCATTGCTGTGGGTTACCATGGCAACGCTCTGATGGTCTCGCGATATTACACGGTCTGCAGCTCTGCGGAGCTGCAGACTGGAAGAAGTGGCCACTGGACCACCAGGGAAGAGAAGGTAGGCTCCCTCACCATCCTCAGCCTCCCCCCACCAGCCTCCCCACCCCCCCACCAGCCTCTCCACCCTCAGCTTCACCCCACCAGCCTCCCCACCCTCCCACCAGCCTCACCACCCTCAGCCTCACCACCCTCAGCCTTCCCATCCCCCACCAGCCTCACCACCCTCAGCCTTCCCACCCCCCACCAGCCTCACCACCCCCAGCCTCCCTCCTCCAGCCTTCCCACCTCCCACCAGCCTCACCACCACCCTCAGCCCCACCCCCCACCAGCCTCCCACCACCACCCTCAGCCAGCCTCACCACCACCCTCAGCCTCCCCACCCGAAGCTAAGCTGGAGGAGGATGGTGCATCAAGGTTGCGAGCGGAAGCTGTAGAAGATTGGGTGTCCTGTGTTAGCCAGTCAACTATGTCCTCAGAACTTTTCGAGTTCAAGGTACATGGCCTCTGAACACTGGGCATTATTCTAGGGCCAAAGGGAATCACAGCACCACGACCATGACGGCCGCTGCGGGGTGGCCTGCCTCTGCCTGTCATTTTTTTTTTTGATTAGTGGTACTATGCGTGCAAGCTACTGTGACAACTAGTGATGTACCGAACGGTTCGCCGGCGAACGGTTCCCGGCGAACATAGCATGTTCGCGTTCGCCACGGCGGGCGAACATATGCGCGGTTCGACCCGCCCCCTATTCGTCATCATTGAGTAAACTTTGACCCTGTACCTCACAGTCAGCAGACACATTCCAGCCAATTAGCAGCACACCCTCCCTAGCAGACCCTCCCACCTCCTGGAAGGCATCAATTTTAGATTCATTCTCAAGCTGCATGCTTAGTAAGAGGAGGGAAAGTGTAGCTGCTGTTCATAAGATAGGGAAAAGCATAGCTAGGTTAGGGATAAGGGTATGCTTTTTTTTTATTTTTATTTTCTATGTAATGTA